TGGACACCCAGGGGAGGCCCTCAGCTCAGGGGTTGGTGTCCCACTGCAGGTGGACACACAGGGGAGGCCCACAGCTCCGGGGTTGGTGTCCCACTGCAGGTGGACACACAGGAGAGGCCCACAGCTCTGGGTTGGTGTCCGGCTGCAGGGAGGAGACCCAGTCTCAGGGAGCTTCCATTGTTTCTGACTTGGATCCTCATCATCATGAGCAAGGCGCCTCCCTGGAGTGGCGGTAGTGGACGTCTTCATGAGTTGTTTTCTCTTTTAGGTGGTTGGAGTTGATTCTTCCCATGTTTTCTCTACATGTTTGCGAGCTATCTTTGAAGTGTGGTGGCAAATGGCATAAACTCTGGTCTGTGGTTGTGGACTCAGGGTGCATGGAAGGCAGGTGACCCCAGGGCCATGGGACATCAGATGTGTAGGGCACAATAACTTTTGAGTCATGGTGTCCTCCTGGGCAGGTGGTGAGCAGATGTCTTCATCCTGGAGTTTCCGTTTCTCGGGGGAATCCAGGGTTCCCTCAGCTTGCTCCTTCCCGCTCCTAGTCAGGTGCTGCCTTCCACCAAGAACGCCAAGCTCCCGGAAACAAGAACATCTGCCAGGAAGAGCTGGAGTGAGCAGGGCCAGAGATGTCCTTGCCCCCACCCTCCCGTGCCCCCGCAGGCGTGGAAACAAGCTCCGGGAGTGTCCTGTGGAGCTCTGGGGAAAGGGGGACTTGAAGAAACAGACTTCTGTTCCGTGGCGGGGAGCCCAGTTCTCTCTGCTTTTATCCAGGAGCTGTTTATGACCACTCCTTGGAGCTCCTCTTCTTTCTCAAATCTTCCACCTCAGGACAGATTGTCTGGCCCTCCTCCCTCTTCTGTGATTTATTCGTCCCGTCGTCCTGCAGGCACTTGGGTTCTGCTTTCCACTCTTCTCCGCCTTGGACACTTAGCCCCTACCTTGCGCACCTTGAGTACACCTGCTCCTTGCCACGCACCTTGCTACACGTGCTCCTGCGCACAGACGCGCACGTGCGTTCGTTCCCGCAGTCCTCGGGGTTTTCTGGGTCCAAGATCAGTAGCGTCGCTCCCCGGGATCCCCGCTGCAGGCGTCAGAGCTCTTGAGTGAGATGGAGAGTCGTGCATGGTGCTGGCAGCCACTCGCCCCTGATGACCAGAGGGCCAAACCCCGTGCTCCCTATGAGGAAGTGCCGGGCATTACTGCGTTCTGTCCTGGAGACTGCTGAGCTGGCATCTCCTCGCCCCTCTGAAAGCACCCTGCAGGGAGTTGAGCAGCCCTGAACACAGATATTGGCTCACATCTGTGTGCCTGGGGCCGAGTAGGCACTGACACCGCAGGCTGACCCGGTGTAGCTGGGTTTCCACCTGAGGTTTAGTCCAGGCCCAGTGAGTGCCCAGTGCCAGGCAGCGGGCAGGTTTTCAGGCTTGCAGGGCTTCCCTGTTTACCCAGTGCTGAGGCTTTGCTCCAGGATTCAAGGCTTTCAGAGGTGAGCAGAGGGACATTCTGGGGCATCAGGATGCTGGCCAGCCAAGATTAGAGTCAAGCATGGGCAGGAAGTAGGGAGTAGGGTGCTCCATGGAATCAGGGTCATTGACATCAGCCCCTCCATGCAGGCTATGGAGAAAGTACTCCTTATAAAGTTGAAAGAAAATGAAGCCCCTTTGGTTTTTTTCTTGAAAGAAACAATTCTGCACACTGGAAAGCCCTTGAGAGTGGGCACAGTGGGCAGGAGGCGAGGAGAGCTGTGTCTGAGCCTTTCCTGCCTTTGGCGAATGTGGCTTGGGTCTGCTTCTGTTTTCGGCTGTGCTGACCATGACCTGTAGGTGCCATTGGGGAAGGAGCTCTTCCTCCAAACCCTTTGCTCAGCTTGTCGACAGAGAACATGAGGTTGCCCCGCATGTGCAAACACTAAGCTCTTGCCAGCTCATGATGATATTGCAAAAGTTGTGTAGGTGCCAGGAACAGAGATGGCGTGGCAGGAAGATTCCACCCAGCAAGTACAAGCTCGTTGGGAATTTAGAAAGAAGGGTTCTGAAGCACACGAAGTTTGCATTTTTGAGGTTGCCCCCAGAACTGGGCGTTTGCTGATGAGGGCCCCTCACCTGCATCCCTCAGCGGCAATAGGCACCATGGTGGGGCAATTAGCAGCTGGCAGAGTGGCAGAGTATCTCGGTATTCCACCAGGCTGGTGCAGAGAGGGACCAAGCCACAGAGACTCAGCCTTCAGGCACACAGCACTCTGAATAGGCGTGTCCAGCCCTGAGGCCTTGTTCCTAGGGAAGGCTTGACCACATTAGGATACTGGTGCTGAGCCCCTGCTACAGCTTCAGGTAGGGTGATGAGGCCTTCAGTTTCTGATAAAAAGTGGCTGGTTGGGAGAAATGTGGTCTAGATTCTTCCATTTGTAAACGTAACAAAAGCCTAAATTTTTTAAAAATAAAATAAAACATGTACAAAATCCACATGTCCAAGGATGCCAAAGCAGCATGTGGACATTGAAGTCCTCAGTGGGAGGTGGAGGCGGAGGAGAGCCTGCTAGGCTGCAGGTTAGCTGTGGGGTGGGCTCCAGGCAGCACCTGCTTATCTGCAGGGAGGCCAGCCAGGATCCTGTCTTCACCAGCCTCCACTGGAGGCAGGAAGCCGGCGCTGGCAGGGAGGCTCAGTAAGACCCATGAAGTGCCAGCCAGACCTGCTGCATGTCAGGCCAACATGGTGCGAACCTAGAGGTGGACCTGTGCCTTCAGGAGTGGCAAGGTAATGTCCCTGTCTTTAGCTGCGGCTGCCTCTGAACGGGTTGATTTTGGGGGTTGCCCTTTTGCCCAGCTAGATGGTTCCTGCAATCTTGAGCCCTTCCCAGCAGATGACATTCCTGTGGGGTGACGCGTTCCTCAAGTCCTGTTGGCAGCTGCAGACCCACTTGGGGTGCATGCACCTGGAGAAAAGGGTTTGTAGGGAGACCAATCAACCAACCAACTGTCCTCCGGTCCAGCACCTGCGCGGGTGTCTTCTGAAGCCTGGTATGCTGTGGTGAGTCAGTTTCCCCTCACTCCATGTTTGGGATGGTGTCCCCAGGCCACCTGGCTTTGGAAATCACTGGTCGGTAGCCCTGGGACTTCCCTCCCTGAGTCACTGCATGCTGTGTCTGCCTGGTGAGGAGACAGGACTTGTGCTGCCCTGAGGGCCCATGGGCTCAGGCCACGACAGGCAGGTGAGAAAGTGAATTCCTGAGCCCTGTACATCCTGCCTCCAGCACTGAAGGAATTTGGGGCTGCAGGCCAGGACGACGGGTGTAGAGTTGAGGGAAGCCAGGCGAGCCGGAGGGAAGCAGGTGTGGGCTCGTGTCAGCCCTGTCCCCACGGGCCCGGCACAGGGCTGTCAGTGAAGGCCGCTGGCAGCTGGTGGCTGAAGCAACAGGCAGCAGCCTGCCTGCCTGCATACTGGCCCAGCTCACTGTGGTCCTTGGGCAAATCCTCCAGAGCTTAGGATTGAGTCCTGCCAGGAATCACGGCAAGGCCAGAGGTCCTTTCAGGAGAAGGACCACTCAGAGGGGGGCTTAGAAGGGGTCGAGGCTGACCCAGGAAAAGCTGTCTTCCCATGGCTAGAAGCCAGTCACCATGAGGCCACCTAGTGCAGAGGCCACCAGCTCAAGAGAGGCTACTACTAGGCAGTTACCTGGAGCAGCTGTGCCAGGCAGCCGCAGGCATCCCAGGGACAGCAGCTGCTCAGGCCTGGTCAAGCATCCTCGTGTGGTGCATGACAATGACAAGCGGCACAAGATGACCCCCATGGCAGAGTGGACACAACAAGGTTTCCCCTTGTTAGTTCTTTTTTATTTTCTTTTTAAATTTTAAAAGAAATTGAAACCTTTCCAATGTCTGAAAATGCCACTAAACCCTGGCTCTGTCTCAGATGCAGGTGGAGGACAGCTCCTCGGGGAACACAGGACAGAGAGGGTGTACTGGCCTGCACCTGCTCGGGGGAGAGCCCCAGTTTCCTTCTAAAAGATGGGGTCTCAGAACTCTCTGCCTTCCCCCTTCCCAGTAGCTGTGGTGTACAGCAGCAGGGCAACACACTAGATCCAGGGGTATGGCCTGGGACTGCTCTGGGAGCGGTCCTTAGAGTGTAGGTGAACAGAGCTAGGGCTGTGGTCACCTATGGAGCGCCACCAGAGCCAGGGAAGAAGAGCGGTTCCCTCCAGACAGCCATAGGAGGACTCCAACTTGATGACTCATCTTGACCTGTGTCCTCCCTTCCTTTAGGTCCTTCCTCCTCCGTCCTCTTCCTGCTCTGCAGTCTCCTTCCTGTCCTGTGTCCTCCCTTCCTTTAGGTCCTTCCTCCTCCATCCTCCTCCTGCTCTGCAGTCTCCTTCCTGTCCCGTGTCCTTCCTTCCTTTAGTTCCTTCCTCCTCCGTCCTCCTCCTCCTCTGCTGTCTCCTTCCTGTTCTGTGTCCCCCCTTCCTTTAGGTCCTTCCTCCTCCCTCCTCCTCCTGCTCTGCAGTCTCCTTCCTGTCCTGTGTCCTCCCTTCCTTTAGTTCCTTCCTCCTCCGTCCTCCTCCTGCTCTGCTGTCTCTTTCCTGTCCTGTGTCCTCCCTTCCTTTATGTCCTTCCTCCTCCATCCTCCTCCTGCTCTGCAGTCTCCTTCCTGTCCTGTGTCCCCCTTCCTTTAGGTCCTTCCTCTTCCCTCCTCCTCCTGCTCTGCTGTCTCCTTCCTGTCCTGTGTCCTCCCTTCCTTTATGTCCTTCCTCCTCCCTCCTCCTCCTGCTCTGCTGTCTCCTTCCTGTCCTGTGTCCTCCCTTCCTTTAGGTCCTTCCTCTCCATCCTCCTCCTGCTCTGCTGTCTCCTTCCTGTCCTGTGTCCTCCCTTCTTTTAGGTCCTTCCTCCTCTGTCCTCCTCCTGCTCTGCTGTCTCCTTCCTGTCCTGTGTCCCCCTTCCCTTAGGTCCTTCCTCCTCCCTCATCCTCCAGCTCTGCAGTCTCCTTCCTGTCCTGTGTCCTCCCTTCCTTTAGTTCCTTCCTCCTCTGTCCTCT